TTTTCATTTATTTTTGTGTTTTATTCTTCCATTTATGACTTTTCTCAAATGGAATTATTATCACTTGTCTGATTGTATATAAAACGAGGCACTGCAAGTTGGGTGCCTCTGGTGGTGCAAGCCTGTAATCCCAGCGGCTCTGGAGGCTGAGGCAGGAGGATTGTGAGTTCAAAGCCAGCTTCAGCAACTTAGTGAGGCACTAAGCACATCAGTGAGAGCCTGTCTCTAAATAAAATGCAAAATAGGGCTGAGGATGTGGCTCAGTGGATAAGTGCCCCTGAGTTCAATCCCTGGTACCAAAAAAAAAAAAAAAAGGCACGGCAGATGACTGGATCCTGCATATTTGGCTGTTCAGGTAGAGAATACACTTCAAGCCTGCTTTGTGACTACCTGAGGTCATATAACCAAGTTTTCACTAATAAAGTCAAACAGAAAATATACATGCTGCTTCCATCTCATTTACCTTAAACAAACTTGCTGCTCTCAATTTCTTCTGTTCTCTTCCTGCAAGCCAGAACATAGATGACTAGATGAAGGTCATCACTTAGGGGATTGTAAACCAGCAAGATAAAAGGAAAGTGAGTCTGCAAAAGACCTGTGAAGCAAAAAGCAATTAACTTCTATCATCTTTAGTCTGCAGTGTTTTAGGTCTCCTTGATATACGTCCCCACTAATATAAACAATGAAAAACTGATTTTAAAGTCTACTTGCATGAGTGACAGGTTTCACTTCGAGGGAACAGATCTCCAGGTGTGATCCAGGCAGCTCTGGGGGTCCTTGAGACACTCGCAGGAAGCATTTAAAGTCATTTTCATGATAATACAAAGTCAATATTTACCTTTTTTATTCTCACTCTCTCCTGAGTTTCCGGTAGAGTTTTCCAGAAGCCACAGGACTTGTGATAGCCCAACAGATTAAATGAAGGATCCAAGCTTTACAAAAATGTAAAACAATGTCGCTCTTTTCACCAAATAGTTTTGGGGGGATCTATAGTTATTTTTCATAAAAATATGTTATGAGTTTCTTATTGTTATTTTAAATGGGTCAATAAATATTTTAAATTTCTCATTTTAATGTTGAATGTATAACCATCCATATTTTAGAAAGCTCTCTTAATAACTTTTAAGAATATTTTCTACTGTCATGAATAACTAAAAAGAACAAATTAAAAAAATTTTAAAAAATAACTTTTTAAGAATATAAAACTAGGAAAGGCAGCAGAATACAACAGACACTAGAATGGCAATGTGTAAATCAATGGAAGTGTAAATGATGTGATTCAGCAATTTGTATACGGGGTAAAAATGGGAGTTCATAACCCACTTGAATCAAACTGTGAAATATGATATATCAAGAACTATGTAATGTTTTGAACGACCAACAATAAAAAAAGAAAAAAAAAAGAATATAAAACTCTCTTAAACCAGGTGCTATGGCACATACCTGTAATCCTGGTAACGTGGGAGGCTGAGACAGGAGGATCACATGTTCCAGGCCAGCCTGGGAAAATTAGAGAGCCCACTGTCTCAAAAAAAAAAAAAAGAAAAGAAAAAAAATGTAGCATGGTGGTAGAGTGCTGGACTACTGAGGTTTAATCCTTGGGGCACACATGCACACACGCGTGAACACACACACACACACATGCACGCGTGCAAAAAAATTTTTTTTAAATGTCCTAAAAGGAAAATCCAAGAGCCATTGTGCCAGGATGATCTGCCTTGATTCTGACATTGTGAAATTCCAACTGTCAGCATCTATAGATTTTTCTTTGGGTTAAATGTTTCCTCCAAAGAGAATTTTCTATTCTGCATTAAGACTCTCAGGGACTTCTCCCTTCAATTAAAATCAAACAAAGCTTTTAAGCCAAGTTTACAACATCCTCCAAGGCTTGCTTATCCCACCACTGAGCTCTCCCATTCGCTCCTCATGCTTTGGCCACATTTGGCCTCATCTGATTCCTCCAGTGGACCAAGCTTTTATAATACTGGTCCACTTCATGCTTTGAAGATAGCCATTGTTGTTCTGCCACTGCAATTTATTTATTTGAAATATTTTATTATGATTATTTTTTTAGCAGTAGTTGGACACAATACCTTTATTTTATTTATTTTATTTCTAGGTGGTGCTGAGTATAGAACCCAGGGCCTTGCATGTGCTTAAGCGAGCGCTCTACCACTGAGCCACAACCACAGCCCCTGCAATTTATTTTTTAAACGGACATGTTTCTCTTCCTTTCTCCTTGCTCCTCCCTAATCTCCCCCCACTCCAACCCGATAATCTCAGGGGAAACAAGATTACTTTTCTTCCTCATGCTACACAGAGTTATCCGTCCTTGCCCACGTACCCACCACAAGAACCAAGTAATCCAGACTTTGGGGACAGCACCCGAAGATCTCAGAAATGACTATCTCCCAAATTAACAAGTGAATACAACTCCAACATGTGGAATGTAGTCTTTGAACCACTGGTTTCAAAGCCTCTTGCTCCCCTTGATGGGCAGAATCACAGCCTCTAGGACAGGAGTCCCTTGGGTTTCTCCTTTGCTAGCCAAGCAATAAACCTTCTTTTCTTTTTTCTCAAAACCATGTCCTCATTACTGGATTGGCACTGGGGACAAGGACTGAGCTTTTGGCAATACTCTGACCTGCCTCAGTTTCCCTGCACAGTAGAGTAGTGGCTCCGCCCGAGTGTCCTGGCAACCTCACACTCCCCACACAGTCCACCCGGGCAAACCTGGAAGGAACCTCAGTTGAATCTACGTCTTGGCAGAATGTATTTCGATCCTCCCAGAACACAAATGAGGCTTAAGAGGAGTTGCTACAGGCCATTTCTAACTACTAGGAAAGTTGCCATGAGCTGTCTTCTCATAGTGCCCAGTTCTCAGGAGGTGTAAGGCTGTCATCTCATTTCCCCTGAGGATACAGCTGCAAAGGACAGCTGCACCCTGGCCCTGGCTCCTCAGCAGCAAGATCACCTGTAGTCTGTGTTGCAGTCCTATGGTCCTTTTGTTTCTGGGTCACCCTGCACAAGGGCCCCTAGGAGCTGGTATCTTTGGCTACTCTTTTTTCTGTGTCTATGTAAGTAATAAACTGTCTGAATCTAAGAAGGGCTCACTGTCTCTTTAGAACCTTTCAGTCTTGCTTTGCCTTGTGCACATGCCCTTCCCTCTGAGTGCTCTAATATCATCCTTCCTACTCTTTTCTAAATATCACCTCTTTAGATCTTACCCTAAATGTCATCTTCTCATAGAGGCTTCTTTGGCCGGTTTGTACAAAGTAGACTCTTACGGCAGACACCATTGATTGCAATTCCAATATCCATTCTCCCAGTCCATTCTTCTTCCTTTTTTTTTTTTTTTTCTCTCCCAAGTCTGGGGATCAAACCCAGAGTCTCACACATGATAGGGAAGCACTCTATCACTGAGCTATGCCCTCAACCCTCCATCATTCTTCTTTACTAACAAGAACCCCCATTTTGACTTGTTAAGGTGTTAGGAGATTTGTTAGATTTAGGAGAGGCCCCTCCCCAGTCCCAGAGCTTTCCTCTTGATAAATAGAATCCCAACATAGCAATCCCATTCCTTTGACTATAGCCTGTTCAATCAGCCACTTCAAAGCCCTACATCATTGATTCATTCAACAAAAACTGAGCCCTTACTCTGCACCAAGCTTTGTTCTTTGTGCCAAGAACAGAATAATTAAGAGATTGGACTAAACTTCCAGCTCTCTTAGAGTCTAAAGGTCTGAGGAAAAAGTTATGGTTAGTTTGGGCAAACCCATGCTACACAAAAAGTACTATCATGGGTATCTCTGCCCATTGATTATGACAAGGAGGGATAAGAAATCATAGAGGAGAGAAATGTATGGAAGTGGAATAAATCCAATCCAGAAATGGTTCTAATATTGTTACAATTATGTGTCCCTACATCATTTATGCAGTATCCCAGCTAAGAAATGCAAAACCTGAATTTAATCATGAGGAAACATCAGACAAATCATCTAAAATGAGAAACATCCTTTTCCCCCCCAACTTAATAAAGGACAAAGTAAAGCTGAGGATCATTTTTGGATGAAAGGGGACTAAAGAGATGAGAAATAAATACAGACGGCATCCTACACTGGAAGGGAGTTCTATAAAGTTTATTATTAGAAAAACTGACAAAATTAGAATGTAGAGGATAGATTGCATTTACTCAAGTAAGAATATGTCCTTGCTCTTCGAAAATACACAATTCCTTCCAGAGAAGGAGAGGAAGGCCAGGGAAAAGAGAGGGGAGGGAAAGAGGTGGGGAGAAAAAGGGAACAAAAAATGAAACCAATGGAGTTAACTGTTAACAATAGGTGAATTTGACAAAAGATACATGTGTTTTTTGTACTATTCTTGAAACTTTTCCAAATACAACTTCTTTTTTTTTTTTTTTTTCTTTTTTTAATTGTGTCCAGACGACTGTATTCTAAGGCAGCCCTCTTGCTCACTTAGGGCACGGTCCTGCACGAATCCCTTCCTCTCGGCCTGTTTTCTGGTCCAGATGATTTCTAGGGTTCTCTCTGGCTCTGGCAATCAAAGCCTCACGACTCTACGGACGTTTCCAGACAGGGCTTTGGAAAGAAGACGGCTCTTGGTATCCTTCTGTCCAACAGATATTTCACAACAACTTTCTTCAAAGTGTCCAACCGTCCTCTTTCACCAGCCACAAATTTGCCCCTGCCCTTTTTCCAGACTCTCCTTCTCAGGCCCTGGGGGCTCATCTTCTGGCAGCCACGAGTAATGTAGAGAATAGGCACGTGTATTTATCCCCAGAGCACTACAGTCCCCAAGAGGCTTTGAGGCAACATCTCACCGTTTACCACCAAAGAAAAAAGGCTTTCCTGTGCGGGTCAGCCGCCGCAGGGCTTTTTGGGAATTGCAGTCCCTCTACTAAGAGCCGCAAGAGCGGCTCAGGGCTGCAAAACACGCTTCCCAGAAGTCATTGCGCTCCTCAACACCAATCAGAGGCGCTGGTCTTGGAGGGAGGGCGGGGAAGAAGAGCAGCTTTTCGGCGCACGCGCAGTAAGTGCTGTTGGGGGAATTCATGTGGAGGTCAGAGTGTAAGCAGGTGAGAATGGCTGGGGGTGGCCCAGGCTTGTTTCTGGTGGGGGGGTCTCTACTGCCCTCCTCTGCCCTCCTATGTGCATTTTGGGCGAATAGGGGTGCGTGTGCTTGTCCATTTTGTGGGGGAGGGGAAAGAGCTAAACCCAGGACAAGCCAGGAGTTGCGCAGGTTAAGGGAGGTGTGTATGGGGGCAGGGTGAGGAAAAATCCAGAAGCCATTAGAAAGGAAAAGGATTGAGTCTCTGGGTCTCAAGGAAGGAGCTAACGGGCGGGGAGAGATCAAGTTAGTTCTGGAGGAGGGAGGGGGGATTTGACGGTCTTGGGGCGGGGCATTAAAAAGTTTAAGGCTGGGGCTGGGGTTGTGGCTCAGGGGCAGAGTGCTTGCCTAGCATGTGTGAGGCCCTGGGTTCGATTCTCGGCACCGCATATAAATAAATGAACAAAATAAGGGTCCATCAATATCTGAAAAAAAAAAGGTTTAAGGCTGGAGTGTTTTTTAGTTGGGTCAACTATACTTCTACCCGTGGCATCGCAGCCCCTAGACCCTGTTATGCAGAGCTCTTCCTCACAGTGCAGCAGCAGTTTAGAGACTTTCCCCTCAGTTGGTTCTTGTGTTATCTTCATCTCAGAATGTCATTCAGCTCGTCCTAATCGGTTCTCACTACAGCATGTAGAGAAGTGGCAAGGTGAGGAGTTAAACCATACCTCCTAGAATTAGACCTCTGCGTTTTAATCCTGGTTCTGCCGCTTAGTGTGATCCTGGGCGTCTCAAGTCACCTGTATGTGTTCCTCTGTTTCCTGATCTATAATAATTACTTCATAGAGTAGCTATGAGGGTTAAATAAACTGATATAAATGATGGCAGTTTACTGTTATTTATTTTTGTTGTTGGCATCACTGTTGTAGCACGTTCTTTTGTTATTTTTCTAAACAAAATTTTATAGAACCAACCATGTAGTATCTCTTGGGACCTTTTTGTCCAGGAAATGGGAGTGTGATTTAGTATGGTGCAAGATCCCTATGGGTATGAGGCCCATGCCTTGTTCCCATTATTTTGAACCAAGTGTCCCAGATTCCTTTCTTTCTTGGTTGAAAAAAGAAACTGCAAAAGAAAAAGAGTGAGGAATTGATGATGGCACTTTGCCAGATGTAGAGTTATTTATTAGGTGTCCTCAGTTGGTGATTTAGAGCTGTCAGGAGTGGGAAAATAAATAATAAGCTTGAGAAGTGAATGTTATGCCTCAGACCTTCCTCTGAGGGTTTGGGCTAAGTTGTTTTATTTTGTTTTTACCCCCTTAGGTGTGAGTGGGTCCAGCAGAAGGAAACATGGCTGCCAAAGTGTTTGAATCCATTGGCAAGTTTGGCCTGGCCTTAGCCGTTGCAGGAGGCGTGGTGAACTCTGCCTTATATAATGGTGAGGCACTGAGGTGAGGGGTGGTGGGTCACTGCCCTTTACTGGAAGATTTCTGTTGGAGTGCATAGCCCATGACACTCTTGATGGTAGCGACTGTTTGTGAAGAGGTCTTAATATTGCCATTCCCCACTATGTGCTTGTATTATTAGAGCCTTTGTTCAAAGACAGCTTCCCAGCCCAGTTGCTGGTTGGATGTTTTTGGCTGTTCTTATCAATTTGCAGTGCTGCTGCTTCACTTGAATACTGTAGCAGAGTATCAGGGGATTTGCATTGCTAACTGAAATGGAGATCTTGTCTGTGTCTCATCTGCCTGTATGTGGAAAAACTCAGCAAAGACTTTAGATCAGTTTGGGTGATCCTTGTCCTGAGCAGCAGCTTTTACTCTGCTAGTTTCAAAGAAAATGTCTTTGCAGTGTATTGTCCAGCTTTTAACAGGGTTTAAGGTAGTTTTTCCTCCACTTTACTGTGTGGTCTTAGGCAAGTTGCTTTCACCTGTAGGCCTCAGCTTCCTCATTGGTCAGGCAGTGAGTTTGAATGAGTTTAATCTCTAAGATCTCCTTTAACTCTCACATTCTTTTACTTTCATGCCCCAAACAATTGTAGATTGCTACACACCTGGCTGTCTAACAAAAAGATTGTTTTCAGAGTGAAGATATTTGGACCAACTCTAAAGTCTAGAGATGGAAAGTAGTTGATGAGAAAAGCCTACTTGGGCCAGGCACAGCAATAACACCTGTAATCCCAGGAACTCCAGAGGCTGAGGCAGGAAGATGTCAAGTTCCAGACCAGCCTTGGCAACTTGGCGAGACCCTGTCTCAAAACAAAAAACTTAAAAAGGGATGGGGATGTTGATTAGGGTAGAGCACCCCTGGAATCCCCTGTGAAAAGAAACAAGCCTGCTTGGCTTATATGGCAGCTCTTGATACTGTGATCATCTTGGTCTCAATTATGTACATCTAAACAGTGGTCTCCATCACTGAATTTCTCTCTGAATCAACAAGATAGCTCTATATCCCCTCCAAGTTTAAAAAAAAACTATTATAGTGGGACCTTCTGAATTTCAGGATTCTCCTAATGAGGATGCTACTGTACTGGGTTATGGTGGAACCAGGATAGACATTTTAAAATAGTGAAGATCTGAGTTGTAGAAGTTTTAGGAGATGATTCCTAGAAGTATATTGTTGGGAGTTTGGGGATGGGATGGTTAATCAGAAAACCAACAACCAGTTTTTTCAAGGAGAAAGGGAACCAAGGAATAGATCCTATTACCAAAGACCTTGGGAGGCACATGGGACAGGAAGTGATGCTTAGTTGTGTAGCTAATTAGAAACCTCTAGAGACCAGAAGTTTGGGATAGGGAGAGGAGATACTCAGTAAATGAACAGAAAGCAACAGGGATCTTTCAAAGTCAGGATCCTTGTGGTTTACAAGGAAAGGATCTTTTTGACATGTCATTATCTTTCCTTCCTAGTGGATGCTGGGCACAGAGCTGTCATCTTTGACCGATTCCGTGGTGTACAGGACATTGTGGTAGGGGAAGGAACTCACTTTCTCATACCTTGGGTTCAGAAACCTATTATCTTTGATTGCCGCTCTCGACCACGTAATGTGCCAGTCATCACTGGAAGCAAAGGTGAGTCTTGCCTTTGTTTTTGTAAAACACAGAGTGTGGAGGGTTCTTTCTTTTCTCGGCTCCAGCAGCCTGTGTGGGATACTAGGATCCAAAAGAGGTTGAACTTGGGACTGGGGATGTGCCTCAGTGGTGGTGTGCTTGTCTAGCATGTGCAAGGCCCTGGTTTCAAACCCCAACTCTGCCAAAAGAAAAAGAGGTTGGACTTGACATCATAATTCTCAGCATGTTTGCCCTGGAGAGCTTTGTATGGATTCATAGAGAGAAGTGTATTCATAAGATACATACAGACAGCAGAACAAACTTAGAGATACATGTGAAGGTTTATTATGGACTGGGGATGTAGCTCAGTTGGTAGAGTGCTTGCCTCGAATGCACAAAGCCCTGGGTTCAACCCCCAACACCACACACACACACACCCACACACAATTTTTTTTTTTTTTAATAAAATAAAGGTTTATCTTAAGAGTTACACAGTGATATAATTTTAAAGAAATCTAAATTATTCCCTCTGTTGGTCCTTCCCATCAGCTCTTGTTCCCCAGAGTGACTATCCAAGCCTGTCTCTGGCCATCTGTCTTTGTAACTGACTTATCCTTTGCCGTATTTTCCATGGCCTCTGCTCCAGTAGTGTGGACCTCTCATTGCTGTCTCAAAGGCTGAAGTCCTAGTGACTGAGACATTCCACTGGGTTTCCAGTCAGATCCTGATGTGGACTCCCATCACCATTCCCCACCACCACCCTTAGACATATACAGACAGCACATAAAGTTGCACATACTCAAAATGTCACAGCTATGACATTTCTAGACATAAAGAAGAGAGGGTACGGTGGTGGTGGTATAGTGGTGAGCATAGTGGGGAAGTTAGTTTTTATTATCTGGATGACATTTGGTGTCCTCCCTGTTATTCCTCAATAGATGTTTGCTTGCGGTGATTGTGCCAGTCTTGATTCTATTTTGGAGAGTGGACTAGTTCAAAGAGGACTAAAATGGTTGCTGTGAAGGAGCTCAGTCTGTGCAGGAAGACAGATGTGAACAAGAAATTACAGTAGAGTGTGGGAAGGACCACAGGGCCAGGGTTCTGTAGTGTGTTAGGGAGCAGAGAAGAGAGTAGCCTACTCCCTGCCAGAAACTGATGTCTGAGTGGTGATCTGAAGAGTGCAGAGTGTGTGAGGCAGAGAAGAGGGTGCACGGAACGTTGGAAATCTGTCTGTGGCTCCTGGCCAGGGAAATAGCAGCCTTTTTTTTTTTTTTTTTAAAGAGAGGGGGCAGAGAGAGAGAGAGAATTTTTAATATTTATTTTTTAGTTCTCGGCGGACACAACATCTTTGTTGGTATGTGGTGCCGAGGATCGAACCCGGGCCACACGCATGCCAGGCGAGCGCGCTACCGCTTGAGCCACATCCCCAGCCCCAAATAGCAGCCTTTTGAAAAGGGGCTGTCTTGTCTGCTTCAAAGAGGAAATAAGTTGGACAGGATTTATGAAGAAATGTTTTTTTTTAGTTACCAATGGACCTTTATTTTATTTATTTACATGTGGTACTGAGAATCGAACCCAGTGCCTTGCAGCTCCAGCCCCTGGAGAAACTTAATTTAACTTAAGCCTGCTTCTAAGTTTCCCATCTCTTGTGGATTTCTTTCTGTACTGTTTTGCAGTTGTTCTGAGGATGCATTATGTACGTATTCTGAAAACTATTGAAAGGTACCTCCTGAGGTCAGGGGCTTATTATGTATGTTGATACGTTTCCCACCTCTCTTGGCCCAATCAGGACTCCATTTCCTGGGCACTTGGTCCATACGTTGATGACTGCAGATTACCTATGTCAGTGTGTTAGCTTCCCGCAGGCCTGGTGTGTCTAAGGGAAGGGCTGATTCCCCCCAGAATCCTAATAAGGTCTATGACTAATCAGACTTTTAAACCCTCACCCTACCAATGACTTGCGTGCCTTCTCTTTTAAATGCTTTACCAGATCTACTCACACCTCTTGGGTCTTTTGCACATTTGACAGAATGCTCTTGTATCTGTTTTCTCCTCCAGTTTTTCCTGGATCATCCCCATTCTCAGACAAGGAAGTAAGTTCAGGTTATCTAAGGCTATCTGAAGCTGCATAATTTGTAGCCAGCAGAGTGGGACCACAGCTCAGTTCTGTGGAGTGTTAGTGCTGTGTCTACCAGTCCCACACTAACTTCTCAAGGTTGACTCATAGGCATGTTCACCTGGCCTTGGAAAGGCCTGATTCTAGAATTCTTAGTATTGACTTGTTATTTGTCCTAAAATGTTCAGTCTCCTAACATTTCATGTTACCCATGAGACATACTGTCATGACCCACCTGAGGTTTACTTAGTTTCTCTGAACTGGGGCAGTGAGTCAGATTAGAATTATTAAGCGGTATGAAAAATTTAAGAAATAACGACCAGGGGCTGGGTTTGTGGCTGTCAGTGGTAGAGCGCTTGCCTAGCATTTGCGAGGCCCTGGGTTCGATCCTCAACACCACATAAAAACAAATAAAATAAAATAAAAATATTGTGTTCAACTAAAAAAGAAAGTATTTTTAAAGAAAAGAAATAAAGACATAGAAATAAGTAAAATAGCAGGATCCGATGGGGACCAGCTCTGATGGAGACTGGATCTAATGACAAAATGGAGTCTGCACCCGTCCACTTTATTTAAATGGATGGAAACACCAATGGGATTTAGTGTGAAGAACTTCCTGAGAAAAACCTGAAGAAGATAGCAAAAACTGGGTTGGGGCTTAACAGGTTACGCCCACCTTCTCTACTTCAGGGCTGCTGGGAGTTGAAGTCAAGGCTTTTTGAACTAGTGAGTTCCATGACAACAGAACTTCCTTATGAACAGAAATCACCATGCAAATGGGTGGGTGTTCCCTGGGCACCCTTGTACCGCATCATTTCACTGTCCAGAGTTTCACATAGTTCAAAGCAAAAATTTATCAGTCGCCTATGACACCATACCATGGTAATTGCTTTATCTGTGGTCATTAGGACACACTGAAAAGCTGGTGTCATCACCGAATCCTTTCAGACATTCCTAACTCTCTGCAGTGCTCTATGGCTTCTCTGCCAAGGAAACCGGACATATCTACTCCTTGCCTTTTAAGATCTTACTAAATACCATTTTGCATTGTAGCAAATTTGGGGTGGGAAAGGTCACATAAAAAGCCATGTGTTTCCTCATTTGTTTTATTTTAACTCCAGTGTTTGTTTCTTACCCTAAGATTTGCAGAATGTCAACATCACACTGCGCATCCTTTTCCGACCTGTTGCTAGTCAGCTTCCTCGAATCTTCACTAGCATTGGAGAGGACTATGATGAACGAGTGCTGCCGTCCATCACCACAGAGATCCTCAAGTCAGTGGTGGTGAGTGGATAGGGCCTTTACCGTGAGCCCAGATCACTGCCCTGAAGATCGCTAGGTTACAGGAAGAACTTGGCCATAGTGGGTTGGGATGTGGCTGAGGTTCTTTTCTGCTTTATCATTAGCCTGACTTGCTTTCTGCCTGTCCCTCTGAAACCAGGCTCGCTTTGATGCTGGTGAACTGATCACCCAGAGAGAGTTGGTCTCCAGGCAGGTGAGCGATGACCTTACAGAGCGAGCAGCAACCTTTGGACTCATCCTGGATGACGTGTCCTTGGTAAGATCCTTGAGGGGTCTGAGCAAAGGGTTTTAGTTCTTGTCTGGTACCTGGCTCATTTCTGTATACACATGATTAGGTCTTGCCTTCACATTTTCCTAAACGTGAGACTTGAAAACAGAATCTTCATGGGGGTGTGAGGCAGTGTCCTTGCATCTGTTTTCAGTTGAGGGTTCTTTATCTCCCTGTCTCACACATTTTTTTTATAATCTCTGCTCATCCCCAGTCTCTAAATCACCAAACTATGACTGTTCCTCAGAAAGTGATGTCTTTTTATTAACCCTGTTTGATAAAGTAAGAAATTGCCTGATAGAGACCAGAAAATAGCTTGGTAGTGTTTCTCCCTAGCAGAGACTTCCCAGCCTGACCCCCTAAGAATTTTCTAACACTTAGGGTTTGAAGCTCTGTGAAGTTCTGGGGACCCCCAGGGAAAGGTGATAGAGTGCTAATAAATGGTTCTGTTTCCCAAGGCCTGGTATTGAGGACAAGGGACATCTCTGAGGTGTAAGCTAGCCTCCAGAGACATTATAGTCTGTGTATTTATATGACATTGAGTGTCATAACTCAAACAAAAAGCAGTACAGGCAGGATAGGGTTTCAGGTGGAGGAGGGGAAGGGGAAGGGGTCGTGTTTCTAAGATTCTCTGGGAAAAATCATTTGGAGTGATTTGTTCGGGTAGTGAGGTAGAGTGTTTCCTGTTCAGTTCTCCTGTGCATCACTAGGGAAAGGCATGCTTCCTCTCAGCATCTGTACAGCTGTTTAAACAGAGATTCTCTAAGTACCCAGCCCTGAGGGCCAGGGCACTGTTCCACCTTCTGTTGCTCCAAGAGAAGGGCGTGTGGCTCCCTCTGCTGGCAGCATGCCAGGCTACAGCCTTTGGCCCCTCCACCTCAAGCTCTCCCCATTTGCTGTTAGTTAACCTGAGTCCCTTGGCTGTGAAAGCTTGCTAAGTAAAAACCTGGGGAAAACTTGGCATTTTACTTGACTCTGACCACATACTCCATTCTGGGGAAATGTGGGCTGACCACAAGAAACCATATCTAAGAGGTGTAAGAAGAAAATTAGATTTCCTGGGGAATTTGCTGGCCTCAGCTGGCTCTTTTAGAAAGAAATTTTATTCCTTAATTATACATTTCATTTTTCATTTCTCAGAATTGTACTTTCTTATCCAAACTTTGATCAAGAATCCAGAAATGGATCAGGCAAAGTAGAGCAGCTGCAGTGTGAGAGTTTGCAGTATAGTGTAAGAGCTTTGGAAAACAGTAGGGCCGGGATTGACTTCTCAGAAGTTTGGGGCTGCTTGTTTTTTAAAAAGCAGACACTGGGAGAGTAGAGGAGAAAATGAAACAAATAACATTTGATTGCAAAACCATTGCTGCTCTTCTCTTTATTTCTTCTTTTTAAATAAAAAATAATGAATAAGAGAATTGCTTAAGGCTAGGCATTAGGAGCTCTGAGTCTCTTCCCACTATCTGTACTATCTTTAGAGACAGTTGCTTCAGCCAAATCTGTTACTTGATTAGGGGAGGTATATGGATAATCAGACTTAAACCCTCACCCGGACCAATGGCTTTCCCTGCCTTCCCTTTCTTTTAAACCCTTTACCAGAACCACTCATATAGGAATACCATGATGTGCTCTCCATCTTGCTCCATCCTCTTCCTGTTTAGTGGTGGGGATGTTCTGCAAAAGTGGACTGGTGAATCCATAAGCAGAGAGTATCAAGCTTTTGGAACCCTGGGAACTGGCTGCATCCCCGGCTCTCAGGGGCTCACTTTTCCATCGCCCTCCCTTGGGTCTTTGAACAGGCATCAAAGAAGATGATGCCTTGGAAGAAATCTGGTCAGTGGTGGGGGTCCTGGAACTCACAGATCTCCTCTAAGGAGGTGGTCTATTGAGTGAACACCTTCTGGTGGCCATGGGCCCCATCAAAAGCTGCAGATGCCATTTTCTGCATGAGGTGGCCACAATGAGGGTGACAGAAATTTGTAGGAACAGTGTTGACAGCCAAGGATTCTGGGGTATAAACTCAGTGTGGATGAGAATTTGGAGGTGGAAGTGTGTCTCCTAGTGCCTCCAGCTGCTAGAGCCATTCCTGGCCTTTTCCTTCCAGCAGCTGAGGAGGCCTCCCAGCAACCCTGTCTGAGCAATTACACTGCCTCAGCTTGTGCTTACTCTCTCCCCTTAGACACATCTGACCTTTGGGAAGGAGTTCACAGAAGCGGTGGAAGCCAAACAGGTGGCTCAGCAGGAAGCAGAGAGGGCCAGATTTGTGGTGGAAAAGGTGAGCATTCAACCAGATGGCAAGAGCCTCTTTTCCTTTCTCCTCTGCTCAGCTTTCCCATTTGCTGGGTGGCCTGGAAATTCATCATCTGTCATCTCTTCTTCCGGGATAATCGGAAGGGGATTGAAGGAACTGTACTCCTGCAATTGGTTGCAGAGTCTTTGGGGGCTAGTCAGGGACATGTGATGTTATGTTCCTAAATCACTGAATGGTAATTTTTTTTCCAAGTGCCCAAGATCAAAAACTTTCATACAAATAAAAATGTTACTCCTGGAATATTTTCAGCTTCACTGAGAAGTCATTTTGAACCATAGTTACATAGTGAAAACTTGACGTTGATAAAATGTTGCACCAGATGTGATATGGTCACTGGATATTTTTCACTAAATCCATCCAGATGTGTCAAGAGAGTGTGATGGAACACAGTATATTGGCCTAGCAGGCTGGTCTTGCAGATATTTGTGAAGGTATATTTATTTGCTCTCCATTCCCCACCACTAGTATTCCTATTCTAAGGCCTTTTGGTCTTTCAAATCAAGAGAGAGATTTGATTTTGGAAACTGTAAACTTCATATGGGCAGGGTCTTGCTTTGCTTTGTTATCTGCCATGACCCCAGTAACAAGTCTAGCACTTTGCCTGATGATCCTAGATATACAACATTTGTTGAAAACATCCTATCAGTTTCAAAATTGTTGGACCAGGGGTGTCACTCAGTGGCATAGTGCTTGTTTAACATGTGCAAGGCCTGAGTTTGGGCCCTGCATTAAGAGAGACAAAAAGAGGGTTGATTTCAAAGAAGCTCAATCCTATACTCTCCTCCCACATTCTGAAGGTCACTTGTCTAGAGAGATGTTTTCATGTTGGTGTTGGTAGGGCAAGCCGTGGAGATTCCAGGTACCAGCTGAGCTCACAGGCAGCTCCTGGCAGTCATAGATGCATGCTTCTCCTTCTTAACTCTTTTGTGGTGGTTCTGTTTTGTAGTGCTGGGAATTCTGAACCCAGGGCCTCGTGCTCTCTACCTCTGAGCTACAACACCAGCCCGACCAACTGGTTTTGATGGAAGTTGTTTTGGCTTAGGACTGGAGGGAAAGATGAGCCTGAGGATTGGTTCCACCTTTCTTTTTTCCTCCATTTTCTCTGGCCTGAATCCTTCTAGCTTAAAATAGAGTTGTCTGGATCAGATCACTAGTAATGTTAATGGGAACTTTGAAATAAGTACACTACTTATATAGCCAATTGAAGCATATGTCTGCAATGATAAATGGGCATTAGAGGAAAGAGGAGGTTGGGTGGACATTGTGCTTGTTGACTCTGTTAACAACAGGAATGTAAGTTTCCGAGTGCCTTCAGAAACCTGTGAAGGCAGGGCTGGGGTTGTGGCTCAGCAGTAGAGCACTCACTTAGCACGTGCAAGGCCCGGATTCTATCCTCGAATATAGATATATATGGAGATAGATATTTATTTATTTATTTATTTTCAAGTACAGCTTTAAAAAATAATAAATATTTAAAAAGAAACTGTGAAGGACCTAGGCTGGTCCTTGCTAGGCTCTAGTCTGACAGCACCCTGAGGTTTGTCACTCACTCTCCATCTCCACTCTTTAGGCTGAACAGCAGAAGAAAGCTGCCATCATCTCTGCTGAGGGTGACTCCAAGGCAGCCGAGCTGATTGCCAACTCACTGGCCACTGCAGGTGATGGCCTGATTGAGCTGCGCAAGCTGGAAGCCGCTGAGGACATAGCATACCAGCTCTCACGCACTCGGAACGTCACTTACCTGCCAGCAGGGCAGTCCGTGCTCCTCCAACTGCCCCAGTGAGGGTGCCCTGTCTGCACCTCCTCAGGCCACTTGGGCCACAGCCCCAATTCTGAATACCATCTTTCTTCTGCCCCCACCCCAGAAATCACTGTGAAATTTCATGATTGGCTTAAAAAGTGAAGGAAATAAAAAGTAAAATCACTTCAGATCTCTAATTATCAAATGAAGCTCTTTCATTCTTCTCACCTCCATCTACTTTTTTATTTACCTCCCTACCAAAAATTGCCAAGTGCCTATGCAGACTGGCTTTGTGTCCTGCAGGGCCTGCTGGCGCTCCAGCCTAGGCACTGGCAATTGGCAGAAGAGCAGGGCAATGTGCGTGATGGATGGGGGAGGACAGCCGACAGCCTGTATAGACCTGTAGCCTCCCTCCTGCCATTTATTGAAGATTTGAGGACAATGGCACACACTGCTGAACCAGGAAGGCAGGCCTCAGTTACTTTCCAGCCTGTCCCACACAGATGCAGCTGAAGAGGTGCTGGGGAAGGTCAGAGAGGAAGTGGTCTGTCTCTTACCATAAGGCTGATTCCCTCCAACTGTGACCATCGGAAGCAGGTGTGTGTCAACAGGGCATGGATTGAAGAATCTGCCCCTATTGAGGTGGGTGGGCCTGATTTTGCTACCCCCCAGGGTCCTAAAACTGGGATGAACTTGGATAGTGAGGGAGGAGGTCTGGACTGAGATGTAAGTCCTGTTGAAGACTTCCTCTCTACCCCCCACCTTGGTCCTTCTCAAATACCCAATGGAATTCCAACTTGAAGGATTGCATCCTGCTGGGGCTAAGCATGCCTGCCAAAGACGTGTGCAGCCTGCGTTCCTGCTGCTTCAGACTGCCCTTCTCGAAGGCTGTGTGCCTGTGCTTTGAAGGAAACAATCATGGGAAGAAAACAAATGTGTGTAAACTGCTATCAATAAATGACACCCAAACCTTCCAGCTGTCTGGGTTTGTTTTTTGTTTGTGGGAGTAGTGGGATCAGAACAGAGTGTTCTAGTAATTTTTGTGTGTGCTTGTTTGTATCACCAGCTGGGATAGAATATCCAGCAAGGCAAAAGATGCTTTGGTTTCAGAAAGCACTTTTTGTTCTGTGTTCCTAATTGAGACCCATTGTGAAGTGAACCTCGGTGATGTTAAGTGAAGTTTCTCATGAGGTGATTCTGAGGAGGTGAGGCTGTCTTCTGTGTATTGGTATGACCAGCAGAGTGGGCGTTCCCGCCGCCAGCAACACCCTAACGGGAGGGAAACCATTGGCAAGAAGTTCACTGGTCAGTAACCCTTCCTGCCCTCTAGTTTGATCTTCATATACAATAGGTTACTTGGGTGTTATTTGATGTGTCATTCTACTTTACTGTGACTGATGTGGGAAATGCAAATGCTTTGGCATTTTAAGGAGACCAAATTTATGCATTTTGGATGGTGGGGGAGAGCAGACCTAGGATTGAGAAATAACTGCCAGCCAGCCACCTCCAAGGCTTTTTTAGGAACAATCAGAAGCCTGCAGCCAGGTGCGGTGGCATATGTCTGATGACTTGGGAGGCTGAGGCAGAAGGATCACAAGTTTAAGACAAGCCTGAGCCACTTAGACCTTAAACAACTTAATGAGACCTTGTCTCAAAAAATAAAGGGCTGGGGAATGTAGCATGTAACTCAGTGGTAAAGTGCCCCTGGGTTCAATCCCCAGTACAAAACAACAACGCAGTAAGACCCAGCCCTACCTGCGCCTTCACCTCTCCTCCTATTCAACCCTGGGCCCTGCCTGGCTTTAGGGACCCTTCTGAGGACTTAGGTTGTGTTCTAATCTAGCGGGCCAGGGCCCGCTAGCAGCTAAGAAAGAAGGGGAACTGATGCACAAATTTGGGGTGGAACTGAGGATTTAAGTTTTCCCAACAGTCTCCAGCTCACCTCAGGCCTCAGCAAGATCTGGTCCCCTGAGAGCAGGCAGCAGTGTGACAGGGTACTGACCCTCTGCTGAACCCCAGAGCTCCCACCAAAGTCTCCCTTCTGGCTTCTCCCTGCCCCTCCCCCAGCCTCCTCTATCTAGGCCTGGGGTAGCTCTTCCGCTTGTGTTTTCGCTGTAAGGATGGCAAGGCCTGCAGATGATGAGGTGCCTGGACTCAAAGCACATTAAAGACTGGAGCAGAAAGAGCATAATTCCCAAATAAGTTCCAGACTAACTTCCACTCTGCAGCTTTCCTCCTTTCCTGCTGTTTATTGCTTTGGACACCCTTTGGGGAAAGGGGCCAGGAGGCGCCTCTCTCCTTAGCCCTCCTCCCAGGCCTTTTTTTTAAAAAAGCCCTTGTGTTTCCTGAATTCGGTGGGGAGATTGGGTTTCATCCTCCAGGTGTCTGTGGGGGAGCCCTGGGCTGAAATGCTGTCCAGTACAACGTCTGGGTTCCTTCTGTCCCAGGTCAGCCTTTTGGGCAGCAGACAGGCCAGGTCTCCTGCTGGCTTTGCCATTAGTTTCCCTGTCATGGGTGGCAGAGGCACCTCCCAGTGGCAGCCCTGGCGCCTCATTCTGCCTTGATTTCCGCCAAGTAATTCTTTTTACAAATGTTCAAGAGCTGTTAATGGCTTCTTAGCCCCAGAGCCCCCTGATGGCCTCTGGGTTTCTCAGAGGCTGCCACAATGGACCTTTATCAGCTGCAGTTCTCTGGACTTTGGATCCTAAGCCATCTCAAGGAAGGGAGAGAGCGGGAAGTGTCTTCCTCCCTCTTTCCTTTTGACAGGCTGAATAGTTCCCTTGTTTAAACTCTAAAGGGTTGCATGCTAAGAAGGCAGTGGACCTAGGATGGGAGGGGAGAGAAAAACCCTCAAGGGCTTGTTGTTTACCTCATGTCTGTGACTTTTAGGTGTGCACCGGTTGGGGGAGGGTTGTGACCATCCTAGATGGGTTTATTTGGGAGGTGGAGAAAGAAGAGAAAACATGGGTCAAATCCTGACTTAGCTAATGCCATTCTAATAGGACCTTCCAGAAATCAGCATTGGGCCCTTCCCTTGACCATCATCAGTAACTGTGAGTGAAATATCCACCCTGGGTAAGGTTACAGGATATTGCACCACCACCCCTTCCTCAGTCTCCCATTCATAGCACGCACTGTTTCAAACCTCATTTTGCTAAAGCAGATGATCTCCCGCCAAGGAGGCTTCAGTGGGCATACAGATTATCTCTTCTCCCCCAACCCCATTACCTCTCCCTTGCCTAAAGAACTAATTCATATTCCCATGAGCACTTAGCACTCTCTTCATTAAATTGCTGTGTGTGTGTGTGTGTGTGTGTGTGTGTGTATGTGTGTGTGTGTGTGAATTCTCTCCTACCCTAAAATCGTAGAGAGCAGATACCTTTCCTTTTCTTTCCCCCTGATATTTTCCCAAGCCAAACACACCTGGCTTTTGTGGGAATTACTGAGTGGATTGGAAAAGGATCTGAGTTTGAAATGAAGGCTGGGGGTCAAGGCTCCTGAGTTCACCCATGCTGTTATGGCAAGTTACCTCAAGCTGCACCTAATTGGGGTTCTCTGGAACCAGCAGGCCAGTCACACACTAATTGCCACCCCCACACCAATACCTCAGAATCATCCCTCTCTCCCTTTATATGGCATCCATGTGGGAACTCTCCTTTGCAGTCACCTTCCCATAGCCCACTCTTTCCTGCTTCTTCCTGGAACACCACTCTGTTCTCTCCTCCCTCCTTCAATCCCTGTGACTGTACCCTCCACAAACCCAGCTTAAAATGCCCCTTGTCCAGGAATTTACCTCTGGCTGACCCCTTACAAGCTCTGCTTGTGTATAAAGTCTCCCTTTATAAAAGAGACATCGGCTCTGGAACTCCGACAACACTGGGATTGAGAATTGAACATAAAAGGAGTGATGAGGCCTGCCCCAGCTGGTAGGCGCTGGGTGCCTTGGCAAGGCCCAGACACATATCTGGAAGAGAGATAGGATGGAAATGTACTGGGCCTGGGGAAACCAGTTTATAGCTGGAAGGGAAGGCCCTTGCCCATGACACGGGGTGGATGGGAAGAGGGTTTCTCTCTCCACCCTCCTCTAATCAAGCTACTTCTGAAGAGAGGAAAGCCAAAGACAAGGCTGCTTTGGGGACCTTAATGCTGCCATTATCCTTGGAGGTCAGGACAAACCTCCTGGATTTGCTAGAAAAGCCATGATCAGTTAAAAGCTTAGACAATCTAAGTTTGGCTGCAAGCGCTACAGACACTTCTGGGGGTTTGCAAACCAAAGTGAACAAGCTTACTGTTTGTTTTTGTCTAGCTAAGAATAGTTTCCATACTTTTAAATGGTCAGGGAAAAAATCCAAAGACTAATGTTTTGTGAAATATGAAAACGATATGAAATTCCAGCTTCAGTGTCTCTACGTAAAGTTTTATGGGAACACAGCTAGCTATGCTCCTGTATACTGCAACAGCAGCACAGGGTATTGTCACCGAGTCTGTGTGGCCTACACAGCCCAAAATACTATTATAGAAAAAGTTTGCTGACCCCTAACTTAAGGGATTAGATGGTCTCAGAAAAGGAAGAACTCTGGAATCCAGAAGTCTCAGACACCAGGAGGAACGGAAGGCTTCAAGTCAGACACTAATGTAACATCACCAGGGTCCTTGATTGTGTCCAAGGCCATGGTGACCTGAGAGGCAAAGTCACACTGGGGTTCTGGTGTGCAGATTTATACCACCCAGTCTTCTCTGTGGCTTGCATGTGTTTCTGTAATGGCAGAAGATGAGAATAGGGGTAGCAAACAGGAATTATGAAAGAAGAAGGACACTAAAATCTCTCAAGGTCTGAGGATTTCCAGGTTTGGGATAAAACTACCTTTTTTTCCCCACTGCTCTGCCCTCTAGGAAGCATCTGCAGTGATGAATTCCAGAAACTGTGACTTCTGGGTGTCTCAGATTTGGCCAGAGGAGTCTCTTAGCTAAGACCATGACTGTCTTGAACAACTGGAGATCCCAAAAGAACCTACATGGGCTCTTTAGGGTGGACTGTGCCAACTATGGTCTTTACCAAGCATCTGAGAACAGACAGATGAGCTTTCTGTCTCTGGCCAGCAATCCCTTCTTTCCTTGGCTGCCCAGACCTGCTCCCGGTGTGCAATGCCATTTCCTTCTTTCTGGTCCAGCCCCCTCCCCTCCTCAAGGTCCTCTTCAGCACTTCCTTCCTTCAGGACTCCTTTCCTATCTGCACCCTACTGAAACGGCAACAGCACGATTTGCAGATCCCCAGGAAAGCTGCTTCCTTTGGGAGAGGAGAGCCATGAGCCTTGCCTAATGTCCCAAAGGTGGTAGGTGGCAGAGCCCCAGAATCTGTCTAGTGCTGCTTCCAGTCCCTCTCAACTCTCAAATATTTCCTTGTGGGAAGCACTTTGCCAGGTAAAGCCTTCCTTCCCACTCAGAGGTATGGCTGAGACCACCTCTTCATCCCTTTCCTGGGTGCACTTTTATCCCCAGCTAGACTGGAACAGGTGGGAGGCAGAGACAATGTCTTCCCTTTGGAAGGCTCCTTCATGCCAGTGAGCTGCAGCAGTGCTTGCTGACATGATGAGACTCTCAGTTGGTCTGGACTTCCCAGACTTCTCACTCTAGAAGGCACAAGTTCTAGAACTGGAAATATTTAGATCTGAATTCTGACTCTGGTGAGACCTTGTGTAAATTACCTAAATACTTTGAGCATCCTCTTAAAACCCTAAGGTTATGAATATTCATGTCCCAGTGTTGTGGAAGACTGAGATGATAGGTGTGAAAAATCTCACAAGCAGAACAGCACTTAACTTACTAGTCTCTTATAAAGGCCGTAGACAACCGCTCACCCCGGCCCTTGTTGTTTAAGGAAGGGTTCCACAGCTGCCAAAGTTTGGCTCTCCTGGTTCTTCTCAGAATTCCTCTCATCTCTATTGTTTCATATCATGAGCCAGGGGAGGCTTTG